TGGCTGCCGGCCGCCATCTTGGTTGACAGTTAATTTGCATAAGGATATGCTGATTAGCCAATGGGAAGGGTAGTGGTCGTACGCTAATTACCATGTTTCTCTTTTATTAGTGTAGATATTATTTCGTTGGTTTATTGTCTTGTCTCTTCAATTAGGATCTAAGTACCTTTAGGACAGGTGTTTTTGTCTAAAGTAGACAAGATTTTCTAGTGCAGTCACAAGACCTAGAACACTGCCTGTACATAGTAGATACAACACAAGGACTTGTTCTTGTTGTTATCTGCATTTTCTTTACTTTTTACTATAAAGTTTTATTGCGGTATAACTGATATAAACATTACATTAGTTTCAGGATTACAGCACAATGATTCGATACTTGTATATGCTGCAAAATGATCATCACAGTGAGTCTGGTTAACATCCGTCACCGTCACCGTGGGGTGTTCCAGCATTTCTACTCTGGGCCTGAGAAAAAGCAAGAACTTTTATTGGGATGGTTAGGGTTCAGGCTAGGCTTAGCCTTTCCTGAATCAGCCCCAAAGAGCCCTCTTGCTCACAGCCCAGGGACTACGAGGACATCTGAGACTTTGCCTTCCTTGCTCTGGACAATGCTGCCACCTACTGGTAACCAATAATAATGGCGTTTAAATTAAGATACCTACATTTTCAAATATAACTCATATTTTCCTGCCTTTACTTAACTCTGCCACTCCTTCAGTGCTGTTTGCCACCTCCTGATGAGGCCGCTCAACAGCACATGGGCAGTCGAGATTTCATAATACCATTAAGTATATTTATTTAAGTGGATATATATGTCAAATCATTACATTGTACACTTTAAAGATATTACAATTTTATTTGTCAATTATACCTTAGTAAAGCTGAAAAAATCTTTTCGTTAAAAAATGATGGCTGCCCTGACTGGTTTGGCTCAGTGGATGGAGCGTCGTCCTGCGGACTGAGGGGTCCCAGGTTCGATTCTGGTCGGGGGCATGTGCCTTGGTTTTGGGCGCATCCCCAGATGGATATTTCTAGCTCTCTATTCCCTCTCCCTTCTTCTCTGTGAAGAATCAATGGAATATATTTTTAAAAAATGATGGCTATAAATGATGTAAATAAAAAACATGCACACCCTGGTTGGTGTGGTTCAGTTGGTTGAACATGGTCCCATGCACCAAAGGGTTGCCTCCCAGATTGCAGGTTTGATCCCTGGTCAGGGTACATGCGGGAGGCAACCTATTGATATTTCTCTCTCACATCAATGTTTCTCTCTATACATATAAAATTTAAAAACAAAACATGTGCAGAGTCTTAATGAATGGAGACATACCAAAATGATAATAGTGACTGAGTTGGTCTGGTGTGATTGTGTTTTCTAATGCTTTATAGCATAGTTTCAATACAGAAAGGACAAAACAACACCACCCATAGTTCCACCACTCAAACAGAACTACTGTTTACATTTTGGTATACAGTGGGGCCTTGACTTACAAGTGTCCCGACTAACGAGTTTTTTGAGATACCAGCTGTCTCTCAGCTGATTTTTTGCATTAAGTTGATAGAGTAATTTGAGTTAACGAGCTCCTTAACGAGCTCGGTCTCGGAACGAATTAAACTCGTAAGTCAAGGCCCCACTGTACTTCTAGTCTTTTTTTTTTTTCATCATGGAGTTTATGGATTTATTTTTATTATAATCACTAGTGGCCTGGTGCACAAAATTCATGCACGGGGGGGGGGTGGCTGTCCCTCAGCCCAGTCTGCATCCTCCCCAATTTGGGACCCCTTGGGGGGATGTCCAACTACCAGCAGTCGGACATCCCTCTCGCAATCCGGGGACCACTGGCTCCTAACCACTCACCTGCCTCCCTTCCTGATCGCCCCTAACCACTCTGCCTGCCGGCCTGCTCGCCCCCAACTGCCCCCCCCACCAGCCTGATCGCCCCCAACTGTCGTCGTCCCCCTACCCCCCCTCTGCCAGCCTGATCACTCCTAACCGCTTCTGCCTCAGCCCCCACCACCATGGCTTTGTCCGGAAGGTCTCCCAGTCTAATTAGCATATTACCCTTTTATTAGTATAGATTATGTACTTATGAGCCTGCTGTGGCCAGGTGATAGGAAGTTGTTCATGGTCAGGTACCTGCAGGGTCCAGCCAGCGCCACCTAGTGGTTGTGGTTCAGAACGGCCTGGGAGCTGGAGCCCTGGATTCCCATCCTGCGCCAGTACTCTGCCTCTCATGTCTGCTCAGCCTACTGCAAATGGAACACGGCTGCCGTCAGCACACAGATACTAGCAGATGCACAGGCTGGAGTTTTCATTATGAGAACCCAATGGGCACCAGATGAAAGGGAAAAAGGGCTTGTAGAATCTATGAAATGAAAAGTTCAAACTGGAAGACAGCAGTTTGGAGTTCCTGGGGCTGCCTCCAAATCACCATCCTTTTTACAAGTCTCTTTGTTAAACAGAGCTCTTCTCTACTTGTAACTCTTTCACCTTATTTTAAAAATTTATCTAAAAAGCCCTAGCCAGTTTGGCTCAGTGGGTAGAGCATCAGCTCACGGACTGAAGGGTCTCGGGTTTGATTCTGGTCAAAGGCACATGCCCAGGTTGCAGGCTCGATCCCCCGTAGGGGGCATGCAGGAGGCAGCCGATCAATGATTGTCTCTCATCATTGATGTTTCTATATCTCCCTTTCCCTTTCTCTCTGAAATAAACAAAAATATATTTTTTAAATAAAGATATTACAAACATTTTTTTTTCCTAAAATAAAAGGTATGTCTCCTTTCTCTCTGACCGAGATGTTTTGACCAGGTTCTTGGGGAGGCCAATGGTACGGAGAAAGGGGAGATGTGGATCCAGTTCTGCCACTTGCCAGCTGAGTCACCTAACCTTTCTGAGCTCGGTGTCTTCAATGGCAATGACCACCACTGCTTTGCCAGGTTATAATAAGGCCTAGACCAGGGGTCCTCAAACTACGGCCCGCGGGCCACATGCAAATACAAATATTGTATTTGTTCCCATTTTGTTTTTTTACTTCAAAATAAGATATGTGCAGTGTGCATAGGAATTTGTTCATAGTTTTTTTAAAACTATAGTCCGGCCCTCCAACAGGGGGACAGTGAACTGGCCCCCTGTTTAAAAAGTTTGAGGACCCCTGGCCTAGACAGTATGCCTCGCTCTGTGCTTGTAGAAGGAAGATCCTATTGTTAAGGTAAAATACTTTAAGGCATTTAAAAAATCAATTCATTTTACCAGTACTAGGACGCACAGGTTCTTCCCATTTTAACATTTCTGAAATCAGGATATGTTGATATGCAAGGGTTTTTTCTTTCGTAATAAGTATATGAAATAATGGTACTCCTTACACTAGCTAGTGTTTTCAGTGAAACGGCGAGGTAACTAGGTCGGCAGAGTGAAGTGAGGCTGGGAGAGGGGCTCTGGGGCTGTGTCTGCGCATCTGAAAGTGGCACCGGTTATGTGAGCTGAACATATACCGTACACACACGTGTTTAGAAGAGGGTATGTTGGAGGGTCGGCATCACCCCTCCTGCCCCTGCTGGCCCTCTCCTGCCGTGAAGCCCGCTCCTTTCTCTCCAGGGCTGCGTGAGGACTGAATGGGGCGGGGCATGGAAAATACCTGGCACTTTCTCGACTCGGTGACTGTCAGCTGATTTCACTCTCCATCTCCTTGGCAACTGTCCCTAGTCTTTTTCTCCGTGTCTTTCAGTCGAATAAAGTTCCTGTCGTTCAGCACCCGCACCACATGCACCCGTTGACGCCCCTCATCACCTACAGCAGCGACCACTTCCCCCCGGGCTCCCCGCCCACACACCTCTCCCCAGAGATTGATCCAAAGACAGGTGAGTCTGCTGCTGCGGGAGGGCTGCACCCCGAGCAGAGCTCCGAGGGGAGCGGGAGGGGCAGGCTTCTCTCCTCGGAGCTCCCACTGGACCTGGGTCCAGGTCGTTTCCTCAGCTGTCTGCAGCCCTGACCACTGGCTTCAGCCTCTTCGGTTTTTCCACCTGTACATTATCTGTACCTTCCGTGCCGCAGGGTTATTGTCAGGGTGAAAGGAAATTAAATCAGATAGTGCACAGGGCCTGGCCCCACAGCCAGCAAGTGGTGTGTCTCTGTTTCTATTACTTTACAACAGCGGTTCTCAACCTGTGGGTCGAGACCCCTTTGGTGGTCGAACGACCCTTTCACAGGGGTCGCCTAAGACCATCCTGCATATCAGATATTTACATTACGATTCATAACGGTAGCAACATTACAGTTATGAAGTAGCAACGAAAATAATTTTATGGTTGGGTCACAACATGAGGGACTGTATTTAAAGGGCCAGAAGGTTGAGAACCACTGTTTTACAATCTCAACACTTTGGGAATGGAATGATCTGGCAGGGGTGGGGGAAAAATCTCTTTTTTTTATTAACTTTGACGTCTAGCACAGTGCCAGCTGTGCCTCCCTAAACGAGACTTCAGCCCTAAACCGAATGTTTCAAGTGGAGGAGTACCCACGTCCCGCCAGGCTATCAGGCAGCAGGGCTGAGCTGGCTTTTTTTTTTTTTTAGCTTGTTCACCAGACCTGTCTATCCCAGGGAGCCACAGTCTATTTTAATAAAGTTCCCAGTTACCGTGGCTCAGAGTATTTGGGGGTCCCGCTTTAGAGAAATAGTTACGACACGTTGCGGACAAGGAGGATAACTGTGGGCTTGAAGTCCAGAGTTCGTTTCTCCGTAGACGTGGGTTTCCTAGAGAAGCAGTTAGCTGGTGACTGGGGGTCCCGGGGTCTGCGGGTCCAGAATTTCTCGTCCCTGTCTTGGACAGTAACCCCTGTATTCGCAGCTGGGAGTTAATCCTGCCACAGAAATGGTTTCCACGTAGCCAGGGAGGCCGCACTGGTCCTGCCTCCCTGAATGTCCTTGACCAGCGGGCCTGCGGAGCTGGGAGGTGACAGGGCAGGGACACGAAAGAAAGAGGCTGCCAAGCTCCAGAACCCTGGGCTCTTGGGGCGAGGAACCTCCCAGACGATGCTATTTTAAGGTGGTCCGGGGAACAGTCTGACACATCTCTCCTTGGAAGCAGGAATCCCCCGGCCCCCTCACCCGTCGGAACTGTCTCCGTATTACCCGCTGTCTCCTGGAGCTGTCGGACAAATCCCCCACCCCCTCGGCTGGCTCGTCCCACAGTAAGGAAACCGGGGGCCTCTCCTACCCCCGTTCCATCCTTAGGCTGAGTTCTGCTCTGACCTCCAGCTGCCCCACCCACAGGGGCACCCTCACCAGACCCCAAGCTCAGACCTTCCTCCCCCAGCTTCCTCCCAGTCCTCACTCCTACTTCCTGCCCTTTATCCCTCAGCCTTTCTTCCCAACCCCTCTTCTCCGCCCTGAATGTTCCCGTTTTAGCCAGTATGCTGACCAGGTTTCCTTGCTCCTGGCCTCTGCAGGCAAGGACAGCCCATGTACTCCCTTCCTCCTGGTGGCTTCCGGCACCCCTACCCTGCCCTCGCCATGAACGCTTCCATGTCCAGGTGAGTCCAGGGACGGGCTGTCTGCGAGCGTCCTTGCCATTTCTGCCCATTGAGCAGCTTTCTTTTGGCAGCAAGCGAGGAGGCCCAGGCTCACTTTTCTCCCCCGTCTCCAATAAGTCCTGCCCCATGGTGGGAAGGACCCCCACACCCACAGGTTCCCTCTCCCCAGTGTCTCTAAGAGAATTTCCGAGCCCTGCCACTCAGCCCTCCGGTCCCGCCCTCCCGCACACTGGGCTTTGTGGTGGTTTTTTATTGTTCTACCTAGTTCCTGATGTGTCTGGTCTGGACATACTCTGAGAACCACTTCTAAGGGGGTTGTATAGTTTTCCCAGACCCCGTGGATTGTCTCTGGCTGGCTTTACCTATTTGTATTACCTGCCTTGCCTATGAGTTTGAAAGCTCTGTGAGTCTGTCTATTTCTGGTGAAAACCCTTTTTCAGCCTGATTCATGGAGACGATTGTGTAATGCACTTCTTATTGATGTAGAGCAAACATAATAGTACATGCATCGTAGGTAGACAACTCATTTCACACTGACGCCAGAGACGGGGGAAGGTTGGTTTTCCCTTAGTGATGTCAGGGGAGGGCAGAGGGAAAGGAGATTTATGCACAGGGCCAGCTCTGCCTGACCATGGTACCCCCAGTGACAAAGGAAATTCGACCCACAGAAGCCCGTATTTTCCCGTTGTACACCCCGCTTTTCCTCCTACCCTCTTCCAGCACCAGAAATAGGAACCCTGTGCATTTGTAGGGGGAGGGCAGGCTTGTTGGGTGTTTCCCAAACCTGATCTGTCCCGAAAAGTCGGTGATGGCCTTCCCTTCCTCACACTCGGCCACAGCAGAGGTGCTGACCCGCCTCTGCAGGAAGGGCAGGGGCCACCCACACCCACTGTTGACTAGCACTTGGCCTAAATCCCTCTTTCGTCCTCTCCACCTGCTGCACAGCCTGGTTTCCAGTCGGTTCTCCCCTCACATGGTGGCTCCGGCCCATCCTGGTTTGCCCACCTCAGGGATTCCCCACCCCGCCATCGTCTCCCCCATCGTCAAGCAGGAGCCGGCACCCCCCAGCCTGAGCCCAGCCGTGAGCGCGTGAGTAACAGGCCTCCGGGGCTGGGTCACCAGTCTCTAAGCAGCAGCTGCTGTTTCTTTCTCTCTCCTGGTGGCATTGAGCGGGCAGCCCAGCAGCCTCCCTCAGCCAAATCCTCTCCCCAGGAAATTGTTCCCTTTGGCTCTCTGAGACATTCCGCATCTTTTCTCATTAAAAAAGGTTTTACAGCCCGGCCGGCGTGGCTCAGTGGTTGTCAACCTCTGAACCAGGAGGTCACGGTTCAATTCCTGGTCAGGGCACATGCCCGGTTGCTGGCTTGATCCCCAGTAAGGGGCGTTCTCCAGTAGGGGGCATGCAGGAGGCAGCAGCAGATCAGTGATTCTTTCAGGTCATTGATGTTTTCATCTCTCTCTCCCTCTCCTTTCCTCTCTGAAATAAATATATATATTAAAAAAAATTTACAGTCCTGGCTGTTTGCTCAGTGGTTAGAGCATTAGCCCTCGGCCCAAAGGGTCCCAGGTTCAATCCCGGCCCCGGTCACGACGTGTGCGGAAGGCAACTAGCTGATGTCTGTCTGTCTGTCTGTCTGTCTCTCTCTCTCTCTCTCTTTCTTCCCCTCTTCTCCCTCCCTTCCACTCTCTAAAGACCAATGGAAAAAATATCCTCGGATGAGGATTAAAAAATAAATAAGTTTCACAGTCAGGATTTAGAGGCTACAAGAGAATCGGAGAAAGCCTTTAGCTTCCCTTCTCCCATGATGCACGTGAAAATGTGAGGCCCAGAAAGGAGGCTTTTCTCAGGTCACAGGGCTTGGTGGCAGAGCTGAGACTAGCGCCCGGGCTGTAAAGGGCAGGAAAGCCAGTCAGTGCCTCATGCCCCAGGAGAGCCCACCCCTTGTTTCTGCCCAGGACGCCCCACCCCTACATCTGTATCACCTGTGGCCAGTACAACCCAGCCGTCACCACCCCCCTGCTCCTCCATCAGGGAATTCTCCTTCCGTAGGGTGTGGCCCAGGGATCCAGAGGGTTGGGTTGGAACTACTAGTGGGAGGCGCTCAGGTGCTGAGAGCAGCCAGTGGCCGCTGGAATTCGCATTCCTCCCCTCCCCAGAGCAACGGCCCTTAGTCGCAGTGGGAGGCGGGGTTGGTGAACTGGATGACAGCTGACACCTGCTAACCCACTTCCCAGGAAATCACCAGTCACAGTGAAGAAGGAGGAAGAAAAGAAACCCCACGTGAAGAAGCCCCTAAATGCCTTCATGTTATACATGAAGGAGATGAGGGCCAAGGTGGTGGCTGAGTGCACCCTGAAGGAAAGTGCCGCCATCAATCAAATCCTGGGAAGAAAGGTAAGACCGCCCGACCTGCCAGCTGTGTGGCCGGCGTCCCTGCGTCCCCTGCCCCCTGTCTCTGACCCTCTCCGCTCCCTCCCACAGTGGCACAACCTGTCCCGAGAAGAGCAGGCCAAATACTACGAACTGGCCCGGAAGGAGCGGCAGCTTCACTCCCAGCTCTACCCAACCTGGTCAGCCCGGGACAACTACGTAAGTGCTGCTCAGACCCCAGAACAGCATCGGCTCCGGAAGGGGGAGGGGAGTTGACGACATGAACGGAGGACTCCGAGGCCAGGGGATGCCTGTATTTCTCTAGAAATAAGGAAGGCAGGTCCACAAGGGCACGGTTCTGGTGTCCTGACAACAGACTTAAACTTGTGTCCCTCCCGTTTGATGGGACTCGGACTTCAACTCCCCACTTCAGGGCTAGCGCTGGTGGTGGAAGGGAGTCAGGGGTTCCTGGCCGGGGGCGGAGTGGCCAACGCATGACCTCAGCCGGCATGTCTACGTCCCTGAAACGGCAGGTTTTTGTGTGCATGTTCTCATTGGCTCTCTTCCGGTAAGAGGGTTCGTAGCTGAATTGGATTTTTCAGTGGGACCTAGGACCCCTCCAAAGTCTGAAGTGCAGCGACAGGGTGGGGCCTTTCAAAAGACGGGACACCCGAGCTGGAGGGCAGGAACCGATGGGGAGGGGCACTCCAGGAAGACACACTTCTGAGACTCCGGGGGGTTGAGTGGCCCCCCTTCTTACCTGGGCATCCCCCTGAAAAGCCAGGTGTTCTGTCTCTGTGGCCTCTTCCTTGGGCCGTGTTTTTTAGGGTAAGAAAAAGAAGAGGAAGAGAGAAAAGCAGCTGTCGCAGACACAGTCCCAGCAGCAAGTCCACGAGGCAGAGGGTGAGTCTCAAGGAGCCGCTGCCTCTTTCCTTTGCCTCCCGCTGTCCCAGCTGCACTGCCTGCGCCTGACACTGCACCGGATGGACACAGGGACAGTGCTGGGTGACAGCTGCCTGTCCCGGGCCTCCGCCTCATGTGCTCACGCGGGCATTACTGTGATCCTCGTGTTAGAGATGACCAGCTAAGAGCCGGGGAAGTTCAGGGATTGGGTCCCAGCACTTTCTCACTTGGAACCTTGGGCGCTTTGGAACGTGCTTCAGTTGCGTCTTATTGGAGGGTTAGGTTCTAAAGTCAGTGTGTAAGGTAAAAACTGAATGCCGTGGAAATCCCCTCAGGAAGGCGGATATTAGGGGCCGACGTACTGCCTGTCAGTGGACCCAGCAGAATCAGCTTTGCTGCCAGTGTCTGGTTGGTCAAACACCAGAAGAAATAGTTTGTTCAAGTTCAGGGGCCGCCTTGTGCCCCAAAAAAATGTGTGCACCAGAATCACACCTGGCACAGAGGTTCACACTGTGGCGAGCACTTAGTCATGCCTCTCATCTCATGCTCACTCCAGGATGGGTACAAAAAGCCACCACCATCTAAGGCAGCAGTTCTCAACCTGTGGGTCGCGACCCCTTTGGCGGTCGAACGACCCTTTCACAGGGGTCGCCTAAGACCACCTGCATATCAGATATTTACATTACGATTCATAACAGTAGCAACATTTCAGTTATGAAGTACCAACGAAAATAATTTTATGGTTGGGTCACAACATGAGGAACTGTATTTAAAGGGCCAGAAGGTTGAGAACCACTGATCTAAGTGGTCTTCCTTCCTTTCTTCCATTCATCTACACATGAGCACACACACATAAATTATGAATATGCTGCAACAATCCACTGCATGCCATGCTGCTTGTAAGCAGGTGCCACACTATTCCCGCTAGCACTGTAAGCTAAAGATTTTTAAAGCAAATTGACTGGAGATCCATCCCCCAAATGATGAGATGTGGGCAAGGAAGACGACGATGCGGTAGGCGGAGCTGTCTTCCCTCTGGTCAGACACTGAATTGTTGGTGTTCACTGGCATTGCCCCTTCTCTCTGCTCTAGGCATCCCTGAATGCAGTTTTCTCATCTTGAAAGCTTTGGATGCAATGCCAGGTCCTCACTTCCCTCCCAGGAAGGATTCTTGTGTTTCCAGAGACGCTGTGCACAGCCAGGCCTCTTCTGCAGCCTCTGCCTCGCCAGAGCTACTAACTGCTCACTCTTCTGTGTGTTTTTCCCCCAGGTGCTCTGGCCTCCAAAAGCAAGAAGCCGTGTGTTCAGTACCTGCCCCCCGAGAAGCCCTGTGACAGCCCTGCCTCTTCCCATGGCAGCATGCTAGACTCCCCGGCGACCCCCTCCGCAGCCCTGGCCTCACCGGCTGCCCCTGCTGCCACCCACTCGGAGCAAGCCCAGCCCCTCTCCCTCACCACCAAGCCAGAGGCCCGGGCCCAGCTGGCTCTTCACTCGGCTGCCTTCCTGTCAGCTAAGGCTGCAGCCACGTCCTCTGGCCAGATGGGCAGCCAGCCCCCACTCCTCTCCCGGCCCCTCCCCCTCGGGTCCATGCCCACAGCTCTGCTGACTTCTCCCCCTTCCTTCCCGGCCACGCTCCATGCACACCAGGCCCTCCCTGTGCTCCAGGCCCAGCCTCTTTCCTTGGTCACCAAGTCTGCCCACTAAGCTGCCCTGTGACCTATGCAGGCTGTCAGGTGACCCATCGAGTAGTAATGATTCAGAAGAGGAAGGAAAAAAAAAGGAAACTTTATTGGTCAATATTTGACCACTCTGGACTGTTCTGTAAAGTGACTGGTAACAGCAGCACTTTACATTTTGTAGATGTAACCAGTAGCTGACCTTAAGGCTTTTTTAAAAAACAAAACAAAACCCACAAAAAAAAATCTTTAAAAGAAAGAACTGAAAAGTAGTGTGTCATTCTTCCCGTACGTGCAGTGGTGGATGGACCTGGGCAAAAGACCCTCCTCTCTCTACCTCTGAGATCGCCTCCTCCCGCCTCCCCCTGTGCCCCAGCCCCCACCCGGGCTGCGTGGCCACTGCTGCGACTCCTAGCCTATTGCTTCTTCATCTAGACCCCATTCCCGGACATTTCTTTTGATCTCACCCCAATTCTTTGCTCAGCTCCATGGGTTCCTGCCTCCATCCTTTCGCCCTCTGCCCAGTGTAAGGCTCTCACCATGTGAGAAGACCCTGCCTGGTTTGTCTCCACCAGCACCCCTCCCCACAGTGGGCCCCAGCCTCCAGCCTTCGAAGGGGGAAAGGTCCTCTGAAATGGTTCTTCCCCACACACAAAGGGACTCAAGGTGCCTGCCACTTCCTTAGTGACGAAGTCCGTGTTCCACCCTTCACCAGTCAACATCTCCCCCTCACAGTCCCAGAGCGCAGACAGGAACTGCTCCGAGGCTCAGTCTAGCTGTCTGCCAAAGTTCTAAACACCCTCCCTCCCCGTCACCTCACATGCTTCTGTGTGTTATTTCTTTTTTTTATGGGGTTTTTGGAGCAATTTGAACTCCCAATAAGCTGTTTATTTTCACAAAAGAAAATAAAATTGCAGTTGCAAGACCTTTTGAGTGTTTTAATCCTTTTGTTGAACCCAGTCCCCTTCATACCAAGCCCTGTGCTAGTTTTGCAGACATGCTAAGAGGATGAGTGCTTTGGAGAGGGATATAAAACATGCCTGACACAATCAGACAAATCCAACCCAGCCTCAAATGGATATCAACCAGTCAGTATCAATAAATGGTCCAAAGGAAGGAACTCTTGCCTTTTAACTGCCGAGATGTGAGAGGCGTCCTTTGTCTGCTTTGCATAGTACCTAGCACTGCAATTAAATTTTCTGTAACAGCTTTATTGAGATACTAGAGGCCCAGTGCACCAAAATCGTGCACTGGGGGTGTGGGTCTCAGCCCAGCCTGCACCCTCTTGCAGTCTGGGAGACCTTGGGGGATGTCCAACTGCCAGCTTAGGCCCACTAAGCCATCAGTCGGACATCCTTAGCACTGCTGCAGAGGCAGGAGAGGCTCCTGCCACCGCCGCTGCACTTGCCAGCTGTGATCCTGGCTTCTGGCTGAGCAGCGCTCCCCCTCTGGGAGCGCACTGACCACCAGGGTGCAGCTCCTGCGTTGAGCTTTGCCCCCTGGTGGTCAGTGTGCATCATAGTGACCGGTTGTTCTGCCGTTCGGTCAATTTGCATATTAGCCTTTTATTATATAGGACTAGAGGCCCGGTGCACAAAAATTTGTGCACTTGGGGGGCGGGGGAGGGGGGTCCCCCAGCCCGGCCTGTGCCCTCTCGCAGTCTGGGACCCCTCGGGAGATAACGACCTGCTGGCTTAGGCCTGCTTCCGGGTGGCAGAGGGCAGGCCCAATCCCTAGGTGCAGCCCCTGGTCGGGCTCAGAGCAGGGCTGATTGGGGAGTTGGGGCGCCGCCCCCTGTCATGCACAGAGCA